CAGAATATAACTATTCTAATTTTGGCAGAGGTAAGATGGAATTCTGACTCCAAGAATAATTCTAAATTTTATAGAGAAAGTGAAACAAAATATATTTGAGGACATCTGTTCCTTGCTCTCCAACATATTCAATCCAACAGGTACCCATGTTATGATTATGATTTCCTAATGCCTCTGAATAAAGTAGAATTGGAAATTTTATGTTCCAAGATAATGCTGTCTAAAGGCTCTCATTACCAGTGGGCTTTGGAGGGCAATTCAACATGCTGGTTCTTACCTATAAAGCCCTTTATGGCACAAGGTCAGGTTACCTGTGGCACTGTAATCTCCAGTTATGTCTGCCTATCCAGAAAGATCTGACAAGGTTGGCGTGCTTTGGGTCCTATTGCTTAGGCAATGTTATCTGGTGGGACCCCGGAAACATGCCTTCTCTGTGGTTGCTCCCACCCTTTGGAACAGCATCTTTCCTGAGATTTGGTTGGCCCCAACCCTGCCTGCCTTTTTGGTAGGCACAGAGCACCTATTTTTTTTTATGCGTTGGGTCTGAGAGTGGTATGACCCATTGGATGAAGTTTTTTTCCCCAGAACTCATGTGTCTGTATGTTGTTTTCGATTGTGTTTTTATACTTCGTTTTTGTTATGTGGTTCTTACCGACTTCTTACTGTTTATTGATGATGTATGTTGTCGTAAGTCATATGCTGAGTAGGGCAGCTACATAAATTGATCAAAAACAAAATTTTACAGTATAACTTCATAATCAGATTTATTTAATGTTGCCTCAAAAGAAGCAGCATTGAAAATGCAAGTATAAAGCAGATAGAACGTTTCTAATGGAAAGTATTAATCTAGCCATTGAAATGTGCTGGAAAATCATTGTTAAGGGATACTAACAATGATAAACTTTTAGTTCTGTGTTGTTATGAAACTGGGCACTTTTCCAGAATGCCATGACATTGCAGTTTAAGTAGGGAAGGTTTAGCAGTGTTGAGAAGCAAGACATATTTAAATTAATAAGTAGAAAAGGTACACAGAGGCATTCTAGTGTGGCTGTTTTTACCCTGCTGATTTTCAGTGAGCAGTTCAACTGCCTCTTTAAT